GAGCTGGACCAGGCAGCTCTCCCCACGTGCACAGTCAGCCCTGACTCCTCCCTGCAGCCTGGTCTCCCTTCAGAAAGAGACCAGGGTGTGGAGGGGCTGGGCAGACCTACAGATGGGCAGAGCCCTGGGCTGGGCGTCAAACCAGAGGGCTGGTTCCAGCTCTGCCATTCCCACCTATAGGATCTCAAATTCAATGGTCGCTAAGGCCCTTTCCGCCTTGATAACATCATCAGAGGGCTTGGGGCCAGACTCAGCCTATGGAAATGTGTTCGCAAAACAGCCATTTAGCAGGGAGCTGGGGGCTGGTGGGCTCCAAAAAAGACATTTTTAAATTAATGAGCCCTAGTTTGCCCACCCCCAAAGGAAGTATGCCTCAGTGCTACAACCCCTCCTCCCCTAAAGGAATGCCAAAGAGCACTAAAACTCACTCATCCACCCACCCACCCACCACTCACTGAGCAACAAGCATGTGCAAGCCCACTGTGAAGGTGCTGGGCACGGCAGCAACTGCCTGCAGCCCCCTTTAGCACAGGGGATAAAATCAGAGTGCACTGAGGTGGTACACCTGCTAACACAAGTCCCTAGACTGGGGGCCCAAGCTGTAGGGCATGTTCATTTCTCCAGGGCTTTCTAGAGGAGCTAGCAGCTGAGCCTTCCAAGATGAGCAGGTAAAATACTCTGCATTAAAGGGCAGATGTCTGCAAAACACGGCCACTGGAGCCTAGGATTTCCACGCACACCCACCTCTCTTTTTTGCCCCCTCCCCCGTGAGATGTGATGAAAAGTGTAACGGAGCCCCAATCATGGGACTGGGTTTTGATCTCAGATCTGGGCCCAAGGTGGTAGAACTGATAGGCACTGGGCTTGTTGTGGCTTCCAGAGTAGTCACTGTGCTCCAGTTCCTTCCCGGGGATGCCTCTCCCCTTCCCTGACTCCTGCCCGGCTCAAGTTCCATACCTCCTCCAGGGCTCCCAAGCTGTCAAGGATCCCCTTTTTCTTCCAAATCTTGACTGCGCCTGCACTCACGAGGCAGCCCTCAGGGTTGGATATGGTTCATGGCCCCCCTGCTCTCTGGCTTCTGGTCTGCTCCACCCCCACCCAACTGGCCCTTCAGCTGCAGGGAAGCAGGGAAGAGTCCCTGCCCAGGCCCTGAGAAAGGGGGCTGCTCAGCAGAAGGCCCTGTAAGTGAGGCTGCATCAGGATTCCCATCTGATGTGATTTGAACAGGGTGCCAGGGATTCAGGCAGGACCACACTCAAGGTATCTGGGTGCTCAGCAGCCTCTAGCAACAGGAGCCAGGAGTGGGAAGCTAGGTTGCCACATTCCTAGGACTGGGTTGTGTGCTCCCAGTCTGAACACAATTTGCCAGCTCAAAGGATACTTAGGATTAGCGGAGATGGGGGAGGGGAGTGACATAGGACATTGAGGAAGGAGGGACTGCCGTCTCATGCGACTGCTCCCAGGGGCATTTATCTGGCTGGGTATCAGATCTGGCTTGAATATAGTGACTAACGGACTATATTCAGGGACCAGGCGCTGGTCTCCAATCGCCTTCTTCCTGCTCAGCCCAGCTGCCCAGTGAGTGACCTCCAGGATTAACAAAGAAGGGGAAGGGGACAAACAAGGATAAGCCCCTGGTCTGTGCAGGCACTTCGCTAAACATGTCATTTAATCCTCACTGTCATCTTGCAAGGTGAATACTACCATGTCTAGACACATGTTATAGACTACCATGTTACAGACACAGAAACCAAGGCCAACCAGTGAGGCAGGCCCATCTCCAATGTCAGAAGCAAGAAGTCCCACAAGTCATTCAGGGTTAGTGGCAAAACTGTGGATTTTGTCCCATGGAGGAGGAAACAGACCCTGTGGTAGAAAAAGCAATTAAACAGGAAGCTGTGGCCAGAGAGCCGGACCATCCCGTGATGGCTCTGTCAGCCGCCGCCCCCAGGCAGGGACACTTAATACACTGGACAAAGCCCCACACTCCAGCTCTATTGCTGGGAGTCAAGTGGCATCAGCATTCAAGATACTGGGCCTGGTACCAACTGGTCCAGCCTCTATCTTCACTGTCTAGAAAACAGGGCCACTGACTGTTCAAAGAAAGCCAGGCTGGGTTTTTCTTCTGAACACTAAAAGCACTGCGAAGGATGCCAAGGGATAGGGAGAGAGGACAGAGCGGAACCCCAGCTTCAGAGCACCCCTCCCTCTTACATGGCTTCCCTATCACAACAAATAACCTTTCTGCTTGGACAGCTCTTAACCTTTTGGGATATAAATTCACTTCCATCACCAGATGGTACTCTCTTTCAGTTTGAGGAGCTGGGCAGGGCAGGGAGTTCAGGACTGATTAAAAAAAAACAAAAAACAGTTGTACTCAGTATCAATGGGAGAGACCGGGATGTCCAGTGCTGGTTGTATTCTTTGCACGGGCCTCAAGTTCACCTGCAGATCTGTCATTCACAGTTTACATATGGTCTAATTCTCTTGCTAAGAAACTGGCTTCTAAATGTTCACACCACAATGGTTGCATCCATTGTCACCAAACAGCAGCTGACATTTATCAAGCTCTTTCCCATGCAGCTGCTGTGCTCAGAGCTTTACCTTATCAGCTTGTTTAATCCTCACAGTACTGTGAGGTGGTGCTGTCCCCCTTTTACAGAGGACGAAGCTAAAGTACAGAGAGGTGAAGTAACCTGCACAAAGGAAATGGGATTCAAACCCAGGCAATGGGTTCTAGGGGCCGGTCTCTTGACTCTTCAAAGTCCAGGACACCTGCTCCCAGGGAAACAAGGTGCAGAGCAAAACCCAAGAACAGATTCCCCTGCCAGGGGCTGCTGTCTATTTGGTAACAGGTACAGGAGACATAGTTACTAATAGCCAACATTTATAGAGCACTTTTCGGCTATCAGGGACAAAGTCCAGTGCTCTATATGCATGATTTAATAAAGCTCTATTTTTAAAATATTTAATAGTATACATACTTACAGGTATTTATATTGGTTACATTTATTATTTAATAAGTAACAAAGCTATAGAGTAGCTATGTTCATTATTATCATCATCCCCATTTTGCAGGGCGGGACACTGAGGCGAGAAGGAGGTTAAGTGACTTGACCAATGTTCCATGGTGGTGAACAGCCAAGATATAACCCCTATCTTTCGGATAGTCCGGGTTTTTATCCCGAATGGTTTAGAAGACAGTGCTTAATTTCACTTTCAGAGTCCCCAGATCACCCCCCCTTTTCTGCCCTTTCTCTCCAGAGCCCTGCCCAGGCTGAGAGAGGGAGCTCCATGCCATCCCCACCACCCAGCGGCCGGGAAGGACCTCTGTGGTACCCAGGGATCACTGCCCCCTCCTCCTCCTCCTTTGGGATAACTGAGAGGGCCAGGGGGGGCAGGCGGGTTCTCCCCACACTCCATGAGTACACAGGAAAACACCCCCCTACTAAACCGGGGCCTATATGTCTACAGCTGTACATTCATTCTAAGCTGTATTTTGCTCTTTAGACTCATCCAGCTGCCTCAAGGTCCATTTTTCTGAGTGCGTTTAGAACACCAGGGTCCTGGCTATGTGACAGCCTCGGGGAGGAGATAAGGGAGGAATGAGGAGATGGGACCCATCCAACAGTGGGGCCTATGACCTCAAATAACATCGCACTCACTCCCCAGGCAACATTGCTCCACGGGTTTCCCGGGCTTCCCACCCAGCCTGGCCCTCCTGGGCCCTTTGCTCCCCGCCCCCACATGCCAGCCTGGTCACCAGGCCTTGGGCAGGTGGGTACTCCAAGGCTGTCCCGCTCTGAAAGATCTTCTACGTGCGTGGGAAAGGCAGCCAGAAGACCTCAGAGCCTCACCCCTGCCCCGAGCAAGGCTTCCAGGAGCCCAGCAAGGGTCACTCTGGGCCCTGTCCACTCACTGGTCATGCCAGGCTGCAGACTCCAGGGCAGTAAGACAGCAGCCGGGCTATTCTTAGTGCCGCTCCACAGGGATCAGGTCTGCCTGACAGCTGAAGGACAAGTCCTCACCAGGTACCCACCATGCCAAACCCTTCCCTCCGGCCATCTCGGGTCCCTTGGGAAAAGAGGAAGCAGGGTCGGGGAAGTAGCCCTGGGGAACGGGAAAAGCTGAGCACGTCAAGAGCGTCTCTCTGGAAGATGGAAACTGTTTCGGAGGTCAAGGGCACGGGCAACTCACAGGGCTTCGGCGCCCGAGGGCAGCAGGAGTCCAAGGGCAGGGCTGACCTCACTCAGGAGACACCTGCCGGTCCCTGGGGGGCTTCTCCACCAAGCGCGCTGCCAGCCTCAGCCAGGGCCCTGGGACGCGGGGCCGAGGCCGAGGCGCGTCCTCATCACACCTGTTCGCTGGCCTCGGACATTTCTCACCATCCCTACCGGCGCCCAGGGAGGAGAACACGCGGCCTCGACTTTCCTCCTCCCCTGAGGGAGGGCGGAGGCTGGGAAGGGGGCAGAGGGACCCGGACGCTCCCACGCTCCGGCCTCAACTCTCCCCTCGGGGCCTCGCCCCAAGCCCGAGGTCCCAAAGGGCCCAGGCGCCTTGCCCTCCCGTAGACCCCTCGCTGCGCCCCGCGCCCGCCCGAGGACCCCGCGGCGCCCCGGCAACCACCCCGTTCCCGGCTCCCGAGTCCCGGACGGAGAGCGCCGCGGTGACTCAGCCTGTCCCTTTCCGGTGACGCCGAGCAAACGGGAGAAAATAAATGCAACTTTCCAAAGAAAACTCGGCCGCGCGAGGCTGCAGCGGGGGCGAGGCCGGGGCTCCGGGCGGGGCCGCCGCCGGCCCTGGGACCGCGGGGACCGGCGCCGCTAGCCCGGCCCGCCCCCGGCGGAAGGACGCGCAGCGCCGCGGGGATCCGGCGAGCGCCCAGCGCGCCCCGGCCCCGCCACCCCCCGGGACGGGCGCGGGGCTCGGCGGCCCCTCCCCGCGGGGCGCCCAGCACGCGACACAGCGGGGACTCCGCTGCGGGAACGGGGCGCTCCTACCTGGCCGCGGCGCGCGGCGGGCCCCGGGGCGGCGCGTGCGAGCTCGGCCCCCTCCGCCCCCGCCGCGCGCCCGTCGGAGGCTTTTAAATCTCCAGGTTACTCCGCCGGGGTGGGGGGAGCATGCGCGCTGGGGCCGCCAGGAGGGGGCGGGGAGAGGCGGGCGGGGGTGGGGTACTGGCGGGGCCGGGGGGTGGGGCTGGTGCCCCGGGAAAGAGAGCGGGACGTCTCGCAGCCGTGTTTGCAGCTGCGGCCGCGACGGGCAGCCCCGCGCGGCGCCTAGGCTGCCCTCTCATTACCTGGGGCAGAGCGCCGCCCCCTCGCCGCTCGCTGCCAAGACATTTCGGGGAAAGCCACCCGGGTCCGCGGGGCACCTCCCCTCCGGGGGCCGGTCTGCGACCCTTACCCCGCACGTGCTGTTCTGGCTGCCCCGTCGCTGGGCAGAGCTGCATCCCACCCATCCAGGACCAGCCCGTGATGCGGAGATGCCGCATTCTCCCTACTGTTTGCTGTTCTCGGACAAAGAGCTTTCCTAGAGCTAACTCAGTCCCTCTTCCTCAAGTTAAAAGCCAAATTCCTTTAATTTTTTTCTTCCTCAAGTCTGTGTTTGGGGAAGAGGAGGAGGGTGATAAGTTCCCAATAAAATGTTCCCTTGTCAGCCCTTGAGCAAGGTCCCAACAGATACCTGTTTCCAGAATGCCTTTGACAAGAGCGAAACAATGCAGCTGCGAAGTAGAGACCTGGAGGCCCAGGCTGGCCTTGGGGCAGGGGCCCTGTTGTGTCTTTTTTCCTTCATGGAGTTTTACTGGGGTGAAAAGAAACCCTATTTATGTGGATTGTTAACTTGGATACTACAGGATCACAGGACGATGCCTGTGAAGGGAGGGCCTCGTGGGCTGCAGCCCCAGACTGGGCGTCAGGTCCCTGGGCTCCAGGCCTGGCCCTGCCACGGGCCAGGTGTGATGTGAAGAGTCCAAGGCATCTGTGCCGAGAATGAATTAGCCGGGTGGTCTCTCAGGGCCCCTCCAGCTGTCTGGTGGAGGAAAGGGGGAAAGGGAGAAGGGAGAGGGGAACAGTGGGGCCTCGGAAGCTGTGGACAGTAGAGAGTGGGTGCGGGGAGAGCAGAGCAGAGAAAAACCAAGAATCCACCTTGTGGGTCACTAATCAAGTTTAACTTGAAAACTGTCTCAGCATTGCCTCCCCGGGGGCGGGCAGGCGACCCTCCAGGGCCGCAGGGGCTTTCTAAAGCCTTTGGCATACCCACTGTGGCCTGCAGAGAGACTGGGGTGGAGGCCTGGGTCCCTGAACTATTGTCCTCTGTGAACTACAAAAGCAGGCAGGAGGCAGGGAGAATTCCGGGTCAGCTGGAAAATTCCAGAGCCAAGGGAGCAGAAGGTGATATTTTCCAGGCTTGAGGAAAGCACGCGAATCAGGAGGGAGCTGTCCCGCCTCACAGGAGTGGGGGGGTCCCTCTCCCCCGCTGGCTTTTGCCAGGGGTCTACTCACTCTATGCCTTGTGACTTGGGCACAGGGGAGGAGGTCTCAGGAGAGTGAACAGACAGCGTGATGTCGGATCCCGGGTCCCAGCAGGGGCCCGGCCACCTGAATCCGTGCGGTCACTCCTCCCCAGTGCAGGTGACCCTTCTTTACAGAGCCGGGTGGGTGTACTCTCCTGGCCCCACCCAGCACGGGGTGGTGAGGGCCTTCTGCCGTGAAAATGTTTCCTCCCCTCTTTTCTACTGGTGTAGCCTTATGAATAGTAATAATAATAGTTATTGATTATGCCAGGCACTGTTCTAAATGCTTTTCATGTATTAACTCATTCAGTCCTTAGGGCAACTCAAGAGATGGGTACCATTTTCAGATAGAGACTGAGGCAATCTCTTAGTCCATTGCTACTCCCTACACATACGTCAACATGCAGACTTGAGCCGTAAAGAAACCCAAACACCCATACCGCTCCTTGTGATGCTGGATTGTTCTGGGCGAGTAGCCGCTTCTCTGGGCTTTAGTTCCCCACTAAGTCTGCTGTAGGAAAAGCACCATGTCCTTTTCATTTCCTCCCTCCCCACCCCCCACAAACCTGACTCCCATTTATAGGAAATGAGGATGACGCGAGGAGCAAAGCCATCCTTGGGGAACCACTAATAGTCTGGCTGAATATTGGAGAAACCGAAGATGCTAGCAAAAATGCATTAACAATTCCTGCTCCACCCCCCACCCACAGCCCCTTCCCATTATCCTTGGGCTCAGAACAAGCATCCTCCTTTTTCTAGAGAGATAAGATTCCCAGCTGGGGCTTAGTTAGCCTGGAAGTGGGCTGAGAAGCCATGGGGGACTTGGAGCTCCCGTCTCCTCTCGCCATCTCCACCATCCAAGGCGGTGGGGGATTCTTTGCTTCTTCCCCTGCCTGCCTCAGGATGAGGGGTGAGCAGTCTCTAAGCATGAAGGCCACCAGCAGGACCAAATCCTGGCCGTGGACTTGAAGGCAAGGAGATGGGTCCCCTGGACACAGCAATTCCAATTCTGGGATTTCTTTTTTGGCAAGATAATCAGAGATATGCATATCAAAAGATGTTTGTCTCAGCATTCTTCACAATAGTGAAAAATTAGAATCAATTTAAATATAGAATGATAAGCTATTGGCTAAGTAAATTATAGCAAATCCATATAATGGAGCATTATGCTGCCATTAAAAATGATGGCATAGAAGAATTCTAATTGACTGGAGAAATGTTTATATTACCAATGAAGATAGCTGACTACAAAATAGCAGGCACAATAGGATATACATTTTTTTTAAATTTAGGTATATAATAATGCAATGTCCCCAAATCCTGGATTGCACCTTGGGACAGAAAAGGGACATTAGTGGAAAAATGGGTGTACTCTGAATAAGGTCTGCAGCTTAGTAAATACTACTACACCAACAATTTCTCAGTTTTGATCATTGTACTATGGTTATCAGAGGAAACTGGTAGAAGGGTATACAGGAACCCTGTGTAATCTTGGCAACTTTTCTGTAAATCTAAACTTATTCCAAAATAAAGTCCTTAAAATCGGTATACATATAGAGAGAGAATAAATTACTTTTTTTAAAAAGATGCAACCAAAAGGTAAAAACTGGTTTTCTATGAGTGGGAAGGGCAATTTTGACTTGCGGGGTGAGGGAACTACGGAAACTTACCTGAATCTCCAAGTGTTCTGTATGGGTCACACATTGCTTTTTTAAGTAGAAAGAAAAGAATCGATAAATGTTATCCTTTAAAAGGGAAAGAATGAAATAAAACAAAGGAAAGAGGAAGAAAGAGGGGCGAGAAATCCCCTCTGGGCTGCCCCAGTGTGGACTCCCACACCTCATTTCCATTCAGAGGGTTGAGTGGAGGGGAGATCAAGGACCCGAGCAGCAAAAGAGGTTCCGAAGCGTTTGGGTGAAGACTTAGATGGAGCAGAGTTTGAGAAAGGTGATAAAGAAATGGAAGGAGCACCTAGACCGTGTTTCCATCACCACCAGACACTGTGCACAGAAGAGACACTGAGGCCACGGAGGGAACTGGCCAGGGGCACCTTTCTTCTCAAACCCCAAGCTGGGAATGACCATGACCTCCACTTCCTGAGGTTGCCCATGATCCCCACCCCCCATCATTGCTAGAATGCAGAGCCTTAGAATTGCTAGTGAATGCAGCCTCCTAGTCCACACCTGGGGGACAGTCAATCTGAGTGGGCACTCCATGCAGGGAAGGTTTTACAACAACAACAAATACCTTCAAGGGTACTTGCTTCAGGAGGGATCCCTCCACTATGCAAAACAGAAATCCTTCTATGGAGAACTTTTCTTTGGATGGAAACTCCCTTCTGAGTCCCGCCCCACCCCCCCACCCACCTGTGGGTAGTCAGGGCAGAGACCAAAACTGCCTCTACAGCAGACATCCAGCTGAGCAGAGATCAGAGGTGGGGAAAGGTTGAGCCCAGCCTGTCCTGACAAGGTGTTAGCTTTTCTACAGGTGGTAGCAAAGTCGGTGTCAACAAGAAGGGCCTCAGAGGGCCAACCTAGACCAGAGGAGACAGTCAAGGGGAGCCCGATCACAGGGGAGTTCAGTAAGAGGCAGGCCCTAAGCAGGTATAACCAGATGAACACGGTGGGGACGTGGCAGGGCTTCCAGGCTCCAGGTAAGGGCTGAGTCTGGGTGAGCACAGCAGTCCTTTCCAGCTCTGAGAGCCAGCAAAGCCCATCCCACTCTCATCAAAGGCAGAACTGAGTCCTTCAGTCTCCCATATTTTAGGGGCATCAGCAATATTCTCCCAGTCAAGGGAACCAAAACTGGAGCAGAGGAGGCTACGTTTTAGAAACTGAAATAACGGGGTGGATTGGGACCAGGGTTAGATGCTTGATGGGGATCATTCAAGCAGCAGAGCAGAGGCAAAATAATGCTGGCGTCTTCCCTTAGGGTTTCAGGAACCAACCGGACAACCTCCTATGCGTCTGTAAACGGGAGAGATACCTAGTTAACCGGCTGGGTTCCGAAACGCCTGGAGCAAGGAGGTGATTACATCGCCCTGAATACTGGAGATTCTATCCTCTGGAGCCCAGATACCTGAGGGCCTAAGACCAGGGTGGGGCTGGAAAGGGGGAGGGACAGCCTCTCAGGCTCCTGATGCAGAGCTCCACCTGCTCCACACACCCCCAGAAATCTTTTACCGGCTAGTCACAGGGAGGCTGTGTGCTATAGAGGAAAGAGCAGACAGATTCAATGTCACTTACTGTGCATTCAGTCATTCATTTCTCATTCAGCACACACTTATTAAATAACAATTATGCATCAGGATTTGTGCTAGGATATAAGTTGACGCTTGCAAGAAAGACATTTAATCTAGTGTCTCGATCTTTGTGGAGAAAGCTTGTTGGGAAACATACAGGCTACTGCACAAATAATGTACTTAGAGCAGAATTTCTATGCAGGTTCATTCATTCTGTCTTATGCACAGAATCCTAAATGTGATGCTGAGCAGAGATGGAAAAGACTGTACAAGGGACATTCTCTGCCTTCATGGAGGTTACAGTTTTCTCTGGGAAACAGAAAGCAGTAGGTACAAAAGTAGGATTCAGCAACGTTAGCAAAAATCTCAG